TATATATATATATACACAGAAAGAGGGTGTTGGGCGGAGAAACAACGCGAAGAGAGAGATTGGGGGAGTCGAAGGCTCGGTGCCCTTATACAGATATATATATATATATATATTTTTTTTTTTCTGATACGCGTAGAGAGGAGTCGACGGGGGCGGAAATGATAAAAAAGAGACGTGCGATCTGACTGGTTTGTTTTCTTTCTCCTCGCATTGTTCGCCGTTGTCGCTGCGCTTTTCACTTTTCCTGTACCTCGTAGTCCCTTTTCCGAACTTCACGCTCCAAATCCCACTTTTGACCCTCACAAAGGTAGACGCGCTCATGATACATTTGGAGGATCTGCTTCAACTCCACTACAAAGAATACGGAGAATCTCTCAGAAATCTTTGGTTCCTCGATATGTTTGCTTTTCTGACAGCTTAGGGCACAGCGTGTGCCAATGGGGCACAGGCGGAGCGAGAGACAGACAAAACTCTCGCGTGTGATCGATCACGCGCGAGGCGCGACGTGACTCCGCGAATCCGTCGAAAAGTAAATAACGTCGAAATAATCGCATTTAACCGGAACGCGAAGGGGAATCAAATCTTGATTGAGAATTCAACGTCACGTATGCCCGTAAAATGATTGGATTTTTCAAATTTGATTTTTTCAAACGGCATAAAAGAATTATAAAATGTATTTCACAAAAGTATATAGGTATGTAGCTGCGAAATTTGGAGCTTGGAAAATCGCGCCGGAAGATTTACGATGCGCGCGAAACAATTACGCATTATCATTCCTGAATAAGTAAATATCGCACGAACGCTGGTATCAGGATAATACTTTTTGCTTTGTACAGCGCGTTGCCGCAACTAACCAAAGAGTCGGCTTTACATATTTTAGCGAGGAATATAAACCGCGTGGCACGAATACTAATGGTACACCACCGCGGACACACGATCCCGGAATCTCAATGAGAGAGAGTCCCTCGATCCCCGCAATAAGCAAAACTTCCGAAATCTCCGATCCGAGTAAATTGGCCCCTCTCTCGCTCCACGTGCGCGGTAATAAAAGTTGCGCGGCGCTCGAATGCCTAATCGCGCTTTGAGAAAATCAGAGATTTTCCTCGAGCTCGCGGGCGTGACTTCGGACGAGATCTCTCCTTTTCCGAGGAAAATCGTCCTTATGTCGTCGGCCGGTTATACGAGTGCAGTATCGCGAGGATGGCGCACGCCTCCGAAATTTCGATCTTCGACGATTCGCACGTCCCGGACTACACGGTAAAAAAAGATGTAATATATATATTATACTTAAAAATATATAAAATTACATAAATAATAAATCTAAAGTTATACCATTTTTTTCATTATTTATGCACGGTGTAATTTTGCACTTATTATTTATGTAATTTTATTATATTTTTTAATGTAATTTTATATATTTTTTTACAGTGTATCTCGTACTTGACCGGAGGCATGAATATACAAAAAAGAGGGGGGCAAAATTATCCGGTCAAACGATACCGTACGAACTCCCTTAGGAAATTATCCGTGATTTTTATAATTGTTTATCACGTGGCACGTTTACTTTTCTATATAGCTCTAAATTGAACGCATAGATGAGGGGCAAATTAAATTGTTCATTTTTCATGCTCATTCGTGATTCGCATCATTTTTCTCGATGCGATTTAAAATTCCTTGTCAAAATGACACCGCAAAATGACTGCATTGGGAGAGCGCAAATAAAAATAGAAACAATAGGCTTGCGTTGACGTTAAGATCCCTTGCGGCGATGCAGATAAGTTAATGTGTTGGTTACGTTCCGGCAAACTGTCCTCAAAGTCTCATAGAGAGTTTGGAACATTAGTGTCTCGCGGCATTTCCCCTATCTAAGAGACGTGCAAACGTGCTCGAACCGAAGGTTCAAAGACCCGTCGACCAGAAACGCCTTCGAGAACCGTTCGACCAAGGGTGTCGCTCGGTCAAGCACGTGGCGGAGTTAAAAAATCACGTGAATAAAGAGAACAGGAGAAAAAAGAGGGGGCGAAGGGGGAAATAAAAATTGAACAAAAATAATTTATGCAAGTGACTCGATAGGCTCTCTCTTTTTTTTTGTTTTTTTTGTTTTTTTTTTTTTAGGCAAGCCGATCGTAATTACCTCGAACTGTTTCAACCTAATTTGCCTCTCGAGGTCATACTTATCGCCCTCGAGTGAGTATAGTCTGTTCCAATATGCCGAACAGATCGTCTGCAACTCGGCTAAAAGAACAAAAAGTTAATGGAAAAAGGGCAAAATGGAGTCTTGCTGAGAGTATGTCGTCCCTACTGTCAGCTCTTTTTTAAAAAAAATTAATTTGCGTGCGAATTATGTCACATGTCAAAAGTGTATTATGTAGTTTTAAAAATAAAAAATGTATTATATATATATATAATTTTTTTTATTTTTAAAACTATATAGTTAAAATGCTATTGTCCGATTCATTAACGTCGATAATAATGATAACTTTTGAATATTAAAAAAATAATAAATTAGCTTAAATATTTATAAAATATTAAAATATTTAATTTAATTCATTATTATTTTTGCCATATCAATGAGTTGCTTTGTAGATACACTTGAATATTTAATGTGATAAAAAATGATATGTATATAACTGACGATCTGCGATTTTCTGTAATGTGACTGATAATTTCGTTACCAAGGATTATTCGTGAGGAAATGAAATTACTATGGAGGAAAGAGAAATGAGTCTTTCGCGTTGGAAGCGAGAAGCACGAAGCTGACAATCGCGTGATCGTTAACCCGACACGGGAGGGTAAAGTTGGAAATAGAGGAGGAAATTCGATGGGAAAAGATCGTAGGGCGAGAGATAGGTAAGGCAAAGATAGGGCGTTGAAAGGGTCTGGTGATGCCTACTCGCAAGTAAATGAACAAAATTCTGTCTACTCGCATACGCCTGCAAGAAAATAACATTACTGAGACAGTTCTACTAGTTGAGCGATTCTACGAGTCGCGAGGGATACTACGTTAGAGTTGCTGCTGCTAGGAAAATACTCAGCCTCTCGATGTCTACGCCTAATTATTATTATTACGCAACAGCTTATGCAAATCGGAACAAGTCGCTAGATACAGCGAAGATGGGCTTTCGCGCAAGTGTGCGAGACAAAGAAGAAAAAAAAGGAAAAAGACAGGAAAGAAAGAGTATTTTGTATTTTGGCGTTAATCGCAGCGTCGCGCTTTCATATCTCTTTGTTTGATCACGAGAAAAACTTTTTTTCGAGAGACCTCCATGTCCTTCTTGGCGACTTCGTACTCAAGGTCGTACTTCTCCCCCTCGAGAATGTTGATCCTCTTATGATACTGGTTCAGAATGGACTTCACGCTAGCTGTTAAAATTCAAGTCACTTCTTGAAAACATGTTCTCGTACACAGACGCCGTTTAAAAGCCTTCTAAAAATGTCCATTGTGTATCGCGAATTTTAATCCATTTTTTTTTATCTCTCACATCATATAGTCACGTCTATCTATGTACATCGCTACGTGTTTATAACAGCTTCATGTCGTCAACTTTGCGAACGAAAGTATACGGAATCTCTGTCTCGCGCAGATGACTTGTACGAACGATGGATGAAGTATGGGGAGGGGAACGAGTCGGGGGTGAAGGGGGGGGAATGAAATTGGTATGAAAGCTAAATCAAGATGTTATAAAGTATCGCTGCCCTGCAGCGACGTTGAAGACTGTCTCAAGTTTCCCGCGATGAAAGCTCTTAAATTATCCTTCGAGCCTAGAGACATCATTGCGAAATTTGAAACAATCTTGAGTCTAGATGAGATATATGATATAGATATTCGCGCATATATAGATCGAAAAATAATGAGCCAGTGAGAAATGTTTTTTATACAATACTTCACAAACACGAAACAAGCGTCAGACGGCACGTATATTTTTTTAAACGAATAAAAATCAATAAAAATACCATATATAGTGCGTGATGTGAAGCACGTGTATAATAATTGATCCAACGCCTAACGTTGTTCCAAAAAAATTGAAATGTTATTCTGTTATTTTGACGTGTTTCGTGCGAGAATAGAGTGAGTAGTAAACAAGCCGTATTAACACAATAATCAAGATGCGGATAAATCCAATAATTTTTAGGATCACCGTTAAATTCGCCAGAGATTCGTGACAGGATTAAACGAAGAGAGCAGAGAGAGATAGTGAAAACAGTGAGAGAGAAATCGCGCGCACATTAATTGCGAAAAAAAATTAGGGTGCGATATAAGAATCAAGACACGGTAATAATAAATCGACGGCAGTGTTGTTGCGTTAACGTATAGATATAATACAAAAATAAGAAAAGTGTGAGAAGTGGGACGACGAAATAATGCGAAGCTCGTATCCTTTGCCCGGCTGCAAAAGCGGAAGTCGCGACGAACGATTCAAGAGTTTCAGCAAAGAGCCGTTAATCATTCACCAAGTTGCTCGATAACGATTATTCATCGGTTGCGATCAAAATAGTTGCGACGCGACGAATCGAAGTCGTAAACTCTCTCTTTCTCGCTGAAAATTATAAAGATAAAAGTTGTCGAATATTACAAGCATTTTACAATATAAAACTGGAATTTTTTCGATATATTGCGTATATTATTTCTTCGACGAATTTAATTTTAATTAATTGTCTTTGATACTTTGATTTTTCTCGTTATTTTATTTACACGATTATTTAGAGATCGATCTATTTTGATCGAGCGTTCGTCGATTGTGCTAAATACACAAGCGACGCGTGTAAAATTGTGCAATCCGCGAGGTCGGTCTATCTTTGCCAAAAGCTCTAATTACGTTCGTCGTCGTCCCTACGCAAATATGCAACCGAACGAAGATCGCCTGCGTTACACAAGTGCAACATTGAGCGTCGTTACTGTTAAATTATCGTTAAACTGTGTTCGCGAGCGCCGCGTTATCATACTCTGCGTATATTTTTCGCGTAAATGTTTTCGGCAGCTGTTGCTCTCTCAAAAGTACCTCGAAATCCTTCTTCTTAACAATATACTCGACGTCAAATTTTTTATCCTCCAATGCCGTGATCCTATTGTGGTACTCGCGCAGCACGCGCTTTATGGTCTCTGTGTGTGGTTCATCAGAATAAATAAATATGTAGAAATGCAAAAAACAAAGACGCGCGTGTAAGATGTTCGCGTTATTTTCGTATACGTTCAGATCATCTGAAATGCATTTCGAGTAGTGTGCTTTATATATCGTGTTTCTTTTTTCCCCAAGAGATTGCGAAGACTGTTTTAAGATAGGAAACACCTTATTGCAATACAAGGATTATTCTTCAAAAATCGCGAAACATTTCTTGTACCCTTTTGACGAGCTTATTTTATCTTCAAAAAAAAAAAAAACATTAAAGATAAACGATGATTTATAAAGAACTTTTGATAAAAGCACGCGATATTAATAAAATTCCTGTGAAAAATTATAGATGAAAAAAAATACTGTATATTATTATCAATTACTGCGACTTAGCATTTTCTTATTCCCTAGATAAATGCATATTTGTCTGATTAAAGACTATTACATAGTTATATAAATTATATGAAAATTCAGAAATTCAAAATACTAGAGAAATTATTTAAAATAATTTTCAATTAACTTTTCAAACACATTGTTTTTTTTTGTAGAATAATTTTTTATCTTTAAACAAAATTAATAATAGAGATAGGGCTTTATAGTTTTGCTCAGAGAACCGCGATGAGAAATTAGTTTGCTCGAATATAGTAAGAAGTAATAAACGCGATTCGGCGGTTTTCCATAAGATTTCGTAACTAAGCAAAGTACCTTCGTTGGCATCGTCGACGTTCTTCGGTTTTCCGCAACGTTCCTCGATTATGCGCCTCCTCTCGGCCGCTTTTCTTTCCTGTTCCTTCTTCAATTCCTCGGCGGCTTTCTTACGCAACAACAACTGTAGACACATGGAACATTTGTGAGATTCGGTTCGATAGGAAGGAAAAACATTTCGTAAGCAGACGAGGAGAAAGTTTTGCTAGGAAAATATTTAGTTAGGAATATTTCCCTGTACGAATCGGTTTTCCTCCTCCTGATAGCATGAAATTGACACAATTTAAATGGAAATTGCGTATTTATATTCCTCGGAATCGATAGTCTGTTATAAACCGTATAAATAATTTAAATCTCGTACGCGATGAGGTGGATTATTATAATACTCGTCTGATCTAATAAATATAAAGTTGTCCAATTATACACACGCACACGATTTGAATTGTACATTAAAATGGTTATTATGAAAACAAATGGACATCGGCTTGATACGCACGAGTAATTAATTCTTGTATTCGTAAATATGTGATCATGTAATAACAGAAAGGCGAAATGAATATGAATTAATTCGCGCTGTAGAACATGATACGACTACGATGCTCGGCCCTCACAAGAGAAACATCTCTATTCATGATTTACTCGCGAAATAATTTAAGCTAACGCCTTCCCTCTTTGGTCAGCGAACGAGATAAGCGTCGGTTGGAAATTTGGTGGATCGCAAATATTGACACGACGGAAGGAAGGAAGGAAAGGAAGAGAGAAAGGTGGATTTACGGAGAAAATAACATTCCACAGGACCGGCAAACGCGAAAAGATTTCTCTAAGAGATAATCTGCATACACACGAAAAACTTTATGTACCGCGAATGCGAATGTTCGCGACGCTGCGCCGGGAAATAGAGAATAAGAAGAAGATCAAGGAAGAGAAGACGCATGAATGTTTCCGAGGAAGATGTTGCGCGACGATGGAAACAGAATGGCGAACGTAAGACATGGCCGTAAAGTAAAGGTAAAAAGGCGCGGGAAGATAAAGTTTGGAAAGTCTCGAACTTTCTCTCTTTCGACGCGTCGCTTGAAAAACAGCATCGAGAAGAGAAGAAAAAGGAGAAACGGATGGTGGTGCGGTAGTATTCCCTGCGAGAAATATTTCGCGAGAAAATCGGCACAAAAGAGCCAAAGAGGATTATCCGCGATATTGCGCGGCAGCTCTCGAACAACGCGAAAAAGCAGATTATGGCGTGCGATGAAGAAGCAATGAGATCAAATCGGGGAAACTCGACTTGGTCATCGATAATGAGCAGTCGACGTGGCGAGAGGATATTGATGTAATTTGAAACGTACTTTTGAGGAGAAACCCGGAAAAGTGTCTTTTTATATACGCAGCACATGCTGCAGCAGCAAATCAGTCACGTGATCAAAATTTATTAGATCATATTTCTTTGTTCTCGTATTATTTCAAGGTTGAAATTACGATTTTTGCTTTTATATTCTCATAATAATCTATTTTATTTTTAAAATCCATTATTTAACTGATATAATGATAAGAATAATTAGAATCAACTAGTCGCGTGTTCTTCGGCTTCGCTGCCTTTGCTGTTCGTTCAATTGAACTTTACCAAACAAACTGCTGTGGCAGCACGCTGCATACGAAATGGTATCTTAACACGCGGCATTAAATTAATATTGAGGGTGGCGGTTTCGTTTGGAGAAGTGAAAAATATGACGAGAGGGATGGATTCGCGCGACTTTTAAAGCGGATAATCCGCGAGTTCGAGAACTCACTCTTCGTCGTATAACGAAATTCGTAAAGGAAGTAGTCGAAAAAAGAAAACAGTCGGTTTAGGACTTACCCTAAGTTTTTTCTTCCTGTCGGGGGTCATGAAACCCTTCTTCGCCTTCTTGGCTTTGGAAGCCTCTTCGAGGCGGGCGCGGACCTCCGCCCTTTTCCTCTCGGTCTCCGCCTGTTTCCTCTTCTTTTCCTGCATTTTTCGTGCGAAACTGTCTTAAAATATCTCAGCTAAGAAAAATCCCGAAGAAGCATCGCGCGGAGCTGCAACGCGAATTTGAAAAGTATTCCGCGATTCAAACTCATCTGCTATTTTTCGCACTCACGTTCCTCTCTCGGTTTCCAAACTAAACTTTCGCGGATCTTAAATTAACTGAAATCGTTGCAATTACAAAATTTACGGTAATTGTATTATAATACTATAATATCAATTTTTCTATAATCGAATAAAAATGATTAACATGTTAAGATATGACTAACATTGTCAAAACTATTGATTATTTATAAGTCTTATTATTGATGTCAAAATTTCGTTGCAATATAATGTATAGTAAATCCTAAACTGAAATTGTTGCAATTGAAACGTTATTTACTATGATATCAATTTTTCTCGTCAAATAAAAATTATTATTTTATCTAATATTATCAGAGCTATTGATTATAGTGATTATTGATCTCAAAATTTTGTACAATGCAAAAGTAAAAAATACGTTTATCCCGTATCGAAGAATGTTATTATGCTCGAAATCGCGCGTAATTTCTGATTATTTTCGCAAAACTAATATCGCTAATTTATAATATTCGCAATATATTTTATCCTGCAATAAAACGAGCGTAAGCTCTTTTCCGACGAAAGGATTCCTTTCATCTATCTGGTAAGTAGCCGTCCTTTAAGAGGCGACTTTACGTTTCTCATAGCTAGTTTCCTCTCTTACGTACATCCTCGATGCGCTTCCTCTGCAAAAGAGAGAGAAAATATTTCTCGTTAGTACGCTCTATGTCGTCGGTCGCATGCATGCGATACCTGAAACACTTTTTACAACCCATCGACTGTATAAAAGGATATTTTTCAATAGCAATGCAAGAGAGAAAGAGAGGTAGAGATTATCATCTCCCTAGTGTTCCAGATTTCGCCATCAAGGAATATCTTATACAAAGCATTAGCGTAGCGAACATGTTTTCGCGTGTTTCATAACGATGCAGAGCTAATGGAGTCTGTCTTAAGTGATATAACTTTGTCGCCGTTAAGAGCTACAACAGCGCATCCAACGAGCATCTTGTATAATATCGTTTTGCACAAACAGCCGAGCGTTCCACTTATGATATTATGCTTTCGACCGGTCATTAGCTCTGCATTCTGTAATAAATTGCGCAGATTTTCATTATCGATAACACGGATGTTGAAAATAAAAATAATATCTGCAGGCCTAATTTAAATTATTATGAATTATTATACAGCATAGAAGCAATGACGGAAGAAATCTATAAGTTTTATATAAGTGAACTTATTGACATCCTACCTTTAAATTAAATTAAATTTTTAATATAGAAAATGATAATATTTTGTTCATAATTTTTTGTCAAAAGAATAATTTCATTTATAGTCAAAAGCACAAAATGCAGAATCCTGAAAAAATATTCTGCCTTATATAATTTATAAAAAATAATAACTGATATATCTTGATTCAAAATCATTTATAGCTGTTTGTAATTTTTTATTTGTGATTATAGTTATTCGTGGTTTTTCTTTATTTGTAAATGTACCATAATCTGTGAATCAATATACTTCGTGCGATTTTGTCATCTTGTAAAATCAAATGACAATCATTTTTTAAACGCTGTATTTTTATGGCTTTGACTATATGAACAAAATTATTTTGTCACTCTTTACCAAATAATTATACTATCATTTTTTATGTTGAAAAATTAATTTATTTAAAAGTAGAGTACTAAATTCATATATAGTTATAATTTTAATAGCCGATTTTAAACTTTGGCATCCAGAGAAATGTTATTGAGTAACATCGTGATATGAATAAGCTTAAGAAATGCTGACGCTGTTGACAACGATATTAAACGAATGCTATTAATAATTGTTGATTATAACTTGCGACATTCGAATAAAATACAATTTTTTTTTACATCTTTATAGTTTATCTCAATATTAAATTCTGATTTAAAATTTGATATAAATATCAAGCACTCACATGGTGCATACGTGCATATTTCGTGATATTAAATAATAGATATACTTTTGCATTTATTATTAAAGGAAAGTAAAGCATTACTAAAGAGGAGCATATACATAGCAACGAAGGATTTTTCACATCGAAAAACAGAAATCATTCTTCATGCGAATCTGGTATCTACTTTACCCTAGATCTGTTCGATTGTTTTATGTTTATCTATAGTGCTCGTTCTCTGGAGTTGTATTTGAACTATAATGATCTTCGATTATAGTTTTAATTGAAGAAAAAGCGAGGATATAGTATTTTTGCGAGGGTACGTTCGAATATTTGTTCATGATGACAGCAAATAATGAGAATCATTTAATTACGCTTGATATTAATTAACTGGAAATTATAATATTGTTTACAATATAATAGCGCAAAATGTTCCGAGATATTTAAATATCTTCTAAAATTTATTACGATTATAAAATATGTTTGGAAATTATCAATCTTTAGTTGTCGTGTAGAAAACTGTTTGAATATTAAGAACTTTGTAGCATGTCGTGTACAAGTTTAAACAATGATAAAATTAAAATTACTTAAACACTTTTGAACTGATATTATATAATGAAAACTTTGTAATTATCAATAGAAAGTTGGCATGAAACATTTCTTGCGCCTGACGTTGCGAGGTTAGCGTTCGTGACTTCGAATAAACGAACCATCTGCAAAAGTGTCTTCATATAACAGTTTTAATCAGTAAATGGAAGTTCTCGAACCGATCTTCGATAAACGTCCTTTCCATTGAATGCACTCGTGCTGAATTTTGCTTTTCGCAATTACACTGACAAATATCAAGCATTTTTGCGTCTCAAAGAGAGAATTTCTCCTTCTTCGTGCCATCGCGAACGAAAGGAATCGAGTCGAGAAAGGATCGTTTTATAAATATAACTAAGGAGAAATAAAAGGAAAATGGAATATTGTGGTTCGGAGGAGACGAGTAAAATATATAGAATGAAATAGTACATATATATATATAAATTCTTACGGTAGAGAGATTGTGACAAATCAAGCAGATTACGAGTGTTCTTAGACGCGAATTTACAATTGAAAATCTGGAACGATTTTGTTCTTCCTCTATAAAAGGATAACGCGAGTGATAAATAGCTTGCTCGAGCAGCAAGAAAGAGAAGACGTAAAATTAGGCGAGGAGATCCAGAGGTTCGCGTTAAATAATGCCGAAATAAGGGCGAGAGAGTGTGACGATAAATCAGACAAAAAGTCAGACTATGGAGCATATAACGGAAGACAACGGGCATGTCGGTCGTAATGCGACCGGTACTATTTCCCGTTCTTACGGAGCGGAAATTTTACGGTGATATTTGCGAAATGTATGTTCCCTACCGCGCGTGGAACTAAAAACCTTCATTAACTTTTACATTTGCGGTTCGCGTCCCACAAATTGGCTTTATTATGCGAAAGAAAACTATCCCGCCGTGCGTAAACGAAGAATTGTCGGCCACGAGATGGACATTATGTTAGGTATAACGTGGCGCAATCATCGAAATGTAAAGTGTCTTGTAAAAAAAAAAAAATTGTTTATTGAAGAATTTAACAGAGAAGTTAAAATAATCGGACAAAAAGACAGGCTTTTTGTTCGAAAATCTTGAAAAGTTCTTTTTCTCTTGTAAAATTCAATCTAATGTTAAAATAAAAAAAAGTTACGAATAGATGAAAAATGAAAGAACGACGGAGAGTGAAAGGATCGAGGATATTGCTGGAAAACGGAATCGTGGAAAGTTTCTTGCGAGAGGAAAAACGAACCGAGGATAATCGCGATGAGAAGCGAGCTTCTATGATCGCTTCGTCATTTTATGTAGCATATAAATCTTTTTCAGGATACACAAACTGCGTGGTTCATCCTTGACCACACCATCTATATCTTCTACTAAGCTACTTCAAAATGCCACTGTGGTAGGAAAAAAAAAACGAGGTTCAGTCTGCTCGAAGTCCTCGACAATCGGAGCTTTTGTACATAAAAGCTTGATATTGTAAAAGTATAATATTGAAGGAAAAATGATTTATTTATGAAGAAACGTGTATTTGAAACTGAGATTTTTTGCACGTATATTGAACTGTCTCCTATTATTTTACAATAAACGTACACATGAAGTAGTTTGGAAGAATTTTAATTTGTTGAGAAATAATAAAATTGATTGGTTGAAATAATTACTTAAAAAAAAAAAAAGATAAATTTTTGTTAAACATTGAAGCTTTGAAATCTCTATCAAATACACTTTTCGACAACATAAATCGAAGGATTCGCGATAGAACATTCAGTAGAACTGTTCTATTTTTATTGACAAGGATTATACTGTCTTCGCTAAAGTTACACAGAGTTTACGTTAATGATCTCTCACAGAGAATCAGCAGAAAGCACAAACAATGCATACCTGTCGATAGTTACGCTAATTTTACTGCACGGATTCAACACATAAGGCGCGTGATGTTTCAGCATTTTCGGTCCGATTGTGAAGATCAGCAACGTATCGAAAATCCAGCGAAACGATGCAATATGAAAAAGAGAAACGTAATATTAAGGAATATTCAATATATGCGTCCTTATGAAACTTTGCGCCGTAACTTCCTCGTTGCTATTTTCAATAATGAATATAAGCGTGTGAAGAAACACGTGATAACACCGTGAAGAAATTCACGGATTAAAATACACACCTAACCTCATCGTCCGCCATGGTGGTGTTTGGTTGTTACACGCGTCTACCTAAAAAAAGAAAATTACAAAACGATCTAAATATTTTTTTTCCTAATTAGCATTTCGTATACCTTGCCGAAAATCTCTCGACACACACGCGCTATTAATAGCACATGTATATACTCGTCAGAATCTCCCCTTCTTCCTCAGTTATTAAAAATAAATAGACTTGCATAAGCGCGTAATAAACGCGCCTGCAGCCTCTCCGGAACAAGGTTGAGCGGATGCCACGTGTGAAGCATTTTTCTCTCTTTTTTTGCATACGCATATAATACTCCCTTATATCATATGCGTAAACGCTTTCGCGGTTCCGTAATAACGCGCGACAATTATATATTATAAAATAATGAATGTCGTCGCGGATGGAAAATGTGAATGCGGAAGAGGAAGGGAATTTATCATCGCGTCTCTTTCGATAAATACGATCGATTTCAAGAGCGCGAGAGTCGATTTCTCGGAGTCGATAAATCATGCCGCTATACGTGGGTAGATTTCGTCGCCGAAACGTGTCCAAGGTGGTGCCGCGATACGGCGGTATAGAATATCCCGACGTGTGCGAAAATAGACGCCGTCCCCACCATTTTCCGCGTCGTCGAGACGTCGAGATACGATCGACGCGATCCAAATTTGGATGCAACGACCCCCGGTGTAGACCTACGTACACCCCGTCATCGGCGGCTTCGACTGGATTCGATGTCAAAACGGCGAGACGAACGGATAAACACGCGTCATGAGGAGAACTTGGAATATTCGTCTGATGGATATATGTCGCCGGCTATTTACGAATGACATTTCGTTGGAAAAAGACGCCGACAGCTGAGGGAAAAATTATAGATGATAGAAAAGAGAGAGAAAAGCCTTTTTATTAAGCGGAATTTCGTCGCAAAATCGATATAACACGCGGTTACGGAATATATCGATCTCGCCGCAAGGTAACAGGAGGGAACAAAGTTGTTCAAAACAGATAACTTATATAGGTAAACTTCTGTGCGCGCACAACACACGAAAATTGTGCAATTCGGTTACGGAGATAACAATTGCGCATTTAGCGGCGCTTGCGACGCGCGCTCGTTGTCAGAGTTCCAAAACATCCAAGAAGATGGATTGTGCTTGTCTACCGTGGCATTCCACATTCCGAAAATACTTAGGAACGTTACGCAGTCACAAGCGAAATGTCGCGTAATGCTAACGAACAAACGAAACAAGATCTCATTAGAATACTTTGGGAAATAGTACAATTTTTTTATTTTATTTGCTATATATAATTTTGTCTTTGATAATTATTTATATAAAATAAAATTTTATGTAGAACATATAGCTTTATAGAATATATATTTATATAAAACATGTACCAAATATAATTTGTTTGAATATTGTCTTGAATTTAATAATATTATTAAATACAGAGAGAGAGAGAGAGAGGCGCAGAAATTTTTCAACTTTACAATTTTTGTACATTACATAATAAATATTTTAAAAATATATCTCCAAGTAATTAATGCTTACTTTTTTATATACGTTCTGCTTTTCTACGTTTTAATGTTTTGCACTCCGTGCAAGCATTGCATAATTTTCTTGTCTCGTTATTGAAATTAATATGTAAATTTATCGAAACCGGAATATTATGTGGTATAATAAAATTTTGTGGAGAATAAATGAGCAAACCATTATTTTTTCGTGAAATGAATTCTTGTTACGATATACTGCAGCACATCTACTTTTATATTTGTAACACGCGATCCGCGCCTTTGCTAAGTATAGATTTTCTCTCGCGCTCGAACCATTCCAAGACACGTCCTACCACCTCGAAACGTGCGTACCGTCTCCGATGTCAAAGCAGCAAGCTGCTCCGTAAAAATAGACAACTCGCTAAATTTCATTAAACTATGCAAAAAAGGCGACCTGGCGCCCGAGGGAAACTATGTTCTACATAAATTTTAGTATGCTAAAGCGGGAACATAATGCAAATCATTTCTTTCGTTGGAAAAAATTTATATTAAAAAAGACGATCGCGCGAAATAATGATATATCATTGATGGTAAAAGCAATATTCTATAATTTCTTTTATTTGAGATTAATATATAATAAGGAAGATTAATATATAAAGAAAAAAAATTCGATGAATTGATATATATATATATATATATATATATATGTTCACATATATTTCGTTGAAATACCCGAAATAATCGATCAATGGTCGATTTGGACCGATAAACGGAAGAAGCTCTCGTTCATCACTTTCAACTTTGCGTCACTTTCAAGACGAGCGATTGCTCGTCGGTGATCGCCGATCCGTCACTGTCTCGGGAGCCTTGGGCGGATCAACCGTCACAACCTTGAAGAGTATCTCTCGTACAGCCACTCGTCTCACTGACACTCGATAAAACGCAAAAACTTTTTTTCACAAACAGCGAAACCTTTCGATAGCAACGACTCGTTTCCTGGGGTAGGGAAAAGATCGCGAGTCTTCCATCTTTCAGGTCTCTCTCTTATCCGAAGGTTCTCCAGGCCTCTTCCTGGAGAACAGGATCGGCGTCTTCCAGGACACTTTCGCGGTAGAATAACGAAGAAGATCGCGAAAACGCGCAAGGAAGATGGGCTTACCTTGTGGAGAAAGCTTTGCTGGCTACGACTGGCCAACCGGACTTTAGGCAGCTGACTGTGCCATATCGCGGATAGCCTAGTCGAACTTCGTGAACTTCCACCGTAGGCCGTTCACGTGGTCACGACGCGACCAATGGCGATCCGCCATTGGCCATAAGCATTTTTAGGCGAGAGCTCTGCTCGCTCTGCTTGCTGCCAAAAATAATCGGAAACTGAAAACGGAGCCGAGCCCGCTTGCTACGTCGCTAAGCGGTTCACTCGATTCGTCGCTGGATCGTTCTCTGATCTGGCTTGCCGTATTACCGTGGCTGAAGAGGCGAGAACGAAGCGGTCTTGAACCCGGATTCTCGCCCTCGAACGTCTCAGTAATTACGTGGTTATTAAAGAACGATATATATGTGATGGCGCGTTCACATGGGTAGAATTTTCTCTCGTAACCAAGGAAATAATTTTTCATATACTTGTTTGTATTTCTAATATAATTCTGTGTAGAAAGAAATAGTATACGTGTTTTATGTACAAAGTATATAAAAAATATAAAAGAAAATATATAACATATGTATAATACAATCTATAATATATACTTTGTATATAAAAAATATAATTTCAGAGATATAACTAAGAAGTTTATATAAAGAAATATGACATAATTAGGTATAATATAAGATATATTTTTATTTGTACCAATTAATATGTTAGCAGTTATTTTATTCTTTGTTCTATACATTGTTTGACATTTCATAAAAAATCACATCACTCTTGCAGACAAATTAAATGAGTAAGATTCACCCTCGACTGTCTTGAATAATTATAACGCGATTATTAAAGAACGATATGTGATTGTGCGTCTGCTGATAGTAATAGAATTTTTCCTCAATCAAAGAAATAATTTTTAATAAATTTATTTACATTTGCATATATAAAAAAAGCTAATACATATTTCTTTAATTTTTTTATATATAATAAATATTTTAAATATTCCATAAAAGATCTACACTTAAAATTAAAAAAAAAATCACGTTACTTTTATACAGATAATTTAAATGCGTAAGATATTCGTGTAAAAAGACGCAAAAATCGAAAGCATGAAAAGTGAGTAGCTTATGCCTCGAATCTTATAAAAATGATTAATGTCCAGTTCGCAGCTCGATGGGGTAAAACTAATTGTAAGATATTATCGGTACTTTATGAAACGCAGCTGTTTGGCATTAAACGCGATTAATGATGACGAAAATGTCGACGTAACACAAGCGTAATGTCGCCGTACTGTCATCGTCGAATTTCAATGAAACTCATCTTGGCTCGAAAGTAGAAGTTGCGTGTGCTTTGAAGGACTCTCATGAACATTCCTTATCTATAATAGCTGCCAAACGTGACTCATTCTCGTAACGATCGTAATTCTACAATGTTGATATTAATATCAGTGTAATACTACTGCTTTTGGAGATACGTGATATCGACGTACAATCTACCTTTACCTTATTATCGTACATATATAATTTAGATGATAATTATTAATATAGTATTATATTATACAGACTTTACGTGTATTATATTTTATAATGTCTGTAATATTACATTACATGTGAGAAGAGCGCTATTATTAATTTTATTATAGTTATATGTGCACGTATTAGGAATTAATGAAGGGGAAATAATTAAAATAACAAAAAAGCTGTATTGTTTTTGTACATGTAAAGTTCAAAAATATTAAATATGAATTTCTATATATATTTTAAAAATTAAAAATTAATTATTATAAGGATTAACAGGCAAATAATAACGCGTGTATCCGTTTTATCTCGAAAGTAGAGAACAGGGGGTTAAGTAGAAAAAGTTTGCCGCGTATCGATATTATGTTGCACATATAATACAGATAACGTATCTACGGTAAACTCTATTATCGGTAATATTAATTTTTTGCATACTTTTATCATTATTTTCTAATTTCATTTGCACGTACATACAATTAATTTATGCCTCCAATAATCGTATCCAAAAAATTATTTCAAAATATCTTGCTAAAACGAGAAATAAAATTGCAAGTAGAACAAATGCATATATGGGCAGACACGTGGTACATTTCAGGGCTTGGTCGGACAACTAGTGGGGGCGGATAAAATAGATTCCTGTGAAGTTGTAGTAGATAAAACACCTTATGTAGATGCTGCGCGATCGAGAAGATGGCGAGAACAAACGGAAGGAGTTTAAAGTTTTCGCACATTTGTGTAAAATCCTCGTGCATTAGCGACAGACTATATATCGCAGTATTGCGGATTGTCTGATAAAGATTGCATTGCGTATACACTGCAGATTTATCAACATGCATGGAATATCACGGTTATTGCAACTATGATTTTTTCGTAAATAAACGCAGCATCAAAATAAGATATGCAGAGAAATATTCTAATTCTGACGTGTAATGTCTGTCTTAAAATATGTATTTGAAGCTCTCTCTCTCTCGATGTTTTACCAGTCCTTTCGAAAACTGTTTTCCGAAATAACACGCAATCAGGTGTAATAAATAAATTTTTCACGTCACTTCGCGTGAGCTTTTATCGGAAATCTGCGATGCCCGTAATCCGATCGCTTAATATCAAGATCATAATAATTATACGTGCTCGACATTATCGATACTCTGCTCAATCAGCCCTACGTATAATTGCCCTCCTTTGACGCTCACCTCTGATATTAGAGCCTAAATCTTGGATAATTGCGTGCACGCGACTAAAACAACGGATCTATAGGGAGAAAGAGAATAAGAATGAGAAACGATGAGAGGGTAAGAGACAGCGCGGATTCTCCTTGATGCGTGCACCCTCGTAACCTCTAACCTATTCCTCTCGTCGCAGGTAGAACCCCTGGAAGGTGGGGACGACGAAGTTGAACGTGGTGCGCCCGAGAGAAATCGTGGGGAAAGGATAAGAGGAGAGAGAGAGAGCTACCTTTGAACTGAAGGTGATTGACCCAGCGTCCCTGTTGCCACGACGACGATCCCGTGACGTCACGGGACAAGCCGGGGTTTATGGGTGACCCATATTCTAAAAATAACCGTCACCGATTTGCCACCCAACCGACGTTCTCACCCTTCGCCTTCTCCATCGTCATACACATATACATGCGTACACGTGTATACTCACGCACACGTCGTCGAATCGCCGACGCCACCAGCCTCTCGCCGCATATTTTCTCCCTCGTCGTTCCTCTTCTGGTCGTCCTCGCGGCTGAAACGGAAAGCTGTTGCCGCGCAAACCGTCCTCGGGGCTCGATAGAATCGGACTCCACGAAGAAGGGAGGATGAAGAAACTGGAGGTGTACGTTCGCAGGGGCACTCGAATTTCCCGTGTTTACAGGGTGTCAGGGAAATCAGGAACTGGGCATTGTCAGGGAATTTTGTAATTCTGGAATTGTCAGGGAAAAGTCAGGAAATTTTACTATATTTATATGGATTTTTTTTCACATTATTTTTCTACATTTGTTTCGATAATTTGATATTTTTTTTATTAAATAAGTATAAACTTTTTCTTGACTCCCAGCACGCTAATTTTCTGTAATATTAAAAATCGATTCAGCTACAGCGTGTTCGTCAATTTATATTTTCATCGACGTGTTATTTTATTTCAATGTGTTTGATAGAGACAAAATTAAAAAAATTTGGTATGAATAAAAAAGGTGATTATTTAAATAGTTTATAGTGACACATGTTTACATATAATGCAGATTATATAATTGATTTAAATTTTTGTTTTGATTTATCATATAGATATATGAAAATTATATATTTGGAAAAAATAATAAAAGTAAGGGAAAAATTAATTTCTGGTTTTGGAAAATCTGAAACGGTCAGGGAATTTTTTTCATTGAGTCTGCTGGACACCCTGGTTTATTGATTGACAAGTGACGAGAAACGCACGTAAATGCGTTTGAGCCGATTGCATCCTACTCTCGGGATTCTGCGGACTATTGCGGAATCGCGGCGCAGATTTATCAGAATGGAGCTAAATGAAAGAGGCTTCGTGACTGACATGTAAAATAATGACGATGTTTACTTTGAATAAAATCAGACACTTAAATTTCGAGACATGCGGAGAAAAAACAGCAGTTTTTCTTTTATCTCGGAATTAAAAATTAATCGCGCTTATAATATTTGTTTTTTTTGTTTTTTTTTTTTTATTTCAAATAAAATCTTTTTGAATATTTTATAAAAATATTTTATATAATTCATACGTCTGTATTTAGCTACAAATTTTTGTTTTCTGTCTATGTAAACTAACACGTGCCAATTTAAAAATTGTTTTTTTTACGGCGCGATTTTAATCTGTTTGGGATAGATTGGGCCGCGATTACTTGCTAAATAATGAACTTTTCGCAATTCAAGTTTGATGATCGTTGCGCATTTCCGCGAATTAAATGAGGTCGCGAAAACGCATCGTTCTAAAGTATATATTAAATAATTCACGCCCGTCTAATTCGGCCCAGAGAATTTTGCTAAATAAATAAACGGCTCATCTGTCTCTCCATTAGCTTAAGGCTTTTCTTACATTGGAATTTCTATATGGAATATCGTGGAGCACGTATGAATGCAGACGTCTTTCATGGTAGTCATGGTGACCGATCAATTTTATCGTATGATTTTACACGTCAGAGAAATAATAGATATAGTACCTTATCATCTAAAATTAGAGACATTGTGTGGCTCTATTATATAGGATATACTAGGACTAATAATAAATCTGGCGAATCTTGTGTACGAATTTTTCAATCAGATTATTGTATTTAAGTGCATGACATTTTTGAAAAAAATTCTAATTTTTCAGATATATTAATTAATGTGAAAAAATTTTAAATCTAAATCACCTATTTTGATATTCAAGTTTTTTATATTTATTCGATCTGGCAAATATCGTACAAAACTTATCATTTATCCCGCACATATATATATATTTTCCGCAGATAATATACATAAATATAATTTTTTGCAACACTTGCAAGTCATAACTGTAGAATGATAAAGTGTCTAGGTATCGAAGGGTTAACGTTGACGTTCCTGTTTTTATTTGTCCAAAGAACGAATCTCAGTTAAATACACGACAAGCGGACGGACATACAAGGACGTCCGGCTCCGATGGC